ATAGCTTTCTGAACTCCGCGTAATCAGAGAATTGTGTAACTGAAGAGGAGAGTTGGCAAAACGTCACTGCCGATTGGTATACTTATGCTTTATCAAGCTTCCTCCAAATTGACACACTACGGTATATCCTTCCCTTTTCCCGCGAAGTTTAGCGCTAAAAAATAACCTACTCGCGGGAAATCTGAACGCGCGCGTCGTTATACGAGATATGCACTTCTAGCATTATAATTTGCTTCTAGCAAACCAAGTTACAAGCCGATAATCTAGATTGTCAACAATTCAATTCTCAATGCACAGGCAGCACATAATTATATTTCAGATGGTTTATTTACAACTACTCTTTTATATGTCATTTCGTACTCGTTAGTCTACTGAAGGTGTGCGTCCCACCCTAGTCCAGCTTGAACTGTTTACGGAGCACAAAAAACGTCATGTAATATACCTTTAGGTTGCTCTTATGCTTTCTGTTGCAAAATAACATGAATGTTATTAATTATGAGCGCGCGGTCCGTGTAGGGGAAATACTGGTCGAGTTTTCTTTTTTCTCCTTCTTCTCTTGTAAGTTTATGGCCTTAGTCGTGCCAAGGCACATAAACTCGCAAATTAAACAGCTCGATCAGTATTTCTTTTTTTTTTTCTTTTTTGTTTGTTTTCCTTCATCATGGTTGCCTCTTCCAGGCGTTCAATTAGTTCTGTCGCAGCGCGAAAAAACGACCGAGGGAAAAAAGGAGAGAGGCTTGGTGGGAGGAGCTGCGCCGCACCAGGCCTCTCCCCTGTGTTTTCGCTCGCTGATTTTGGCGCTGCACCTCAACTAACTGAACGTTTGGAAGAGGCTATTATCATGGTGGTTTTTTTTTTAAATTTTGCCTATAAATTAATGGAGCTATTTTGACAAAAGCGTGCGCCAAAAATAAACAGCATATACTTCGATTAAACGTCCGCTAGACTTAGGAAATTGTCGTTTTACTTAGAACAGAACGAAAGTAGAACTTGGCGGTGGGTAGCTATAAATTCGGGCAGCCCAGGGAACCAATCAAAAATAATAAAGATAAATACTGCATATTGTAATATATTGTACATTGACTATATTAAGACCCAGCTCTTAATTCAAATCTCAAAATTGTAAATACTGTAGTGCAGTACAGTATTGAACTATACAGGAGGGTTAAGTTACAGCTGTATTACAGTCGCGTCGCAGATGGCGGTTTTCCAGACCGTGTAGTCAAGATTTGTTTTATGCCCATTTGGCTAAATAATACCAAAAAATATATAATATATAATATACATAATACACATGTAAGAAGAAAATGCTTCTATAGTTCTTTACAGAATAAATAAACATTAACGTCATGAATGCAAAGAATCGGATTTCAGGGTAGCACTCGCATCACTGCTAACATCATCTTTCGTTCCCAACGGCACACAGTCGTCACCAGATTGGCCGCATTCAGAAGCACCTTTCTTTGTATCTTCGATGTGATCCTGATTTCCAGGCTCTGGATAATCTGGCTGTGATGGCGGTCTATCCATGGTAACACCACTGAATGGTCGGTCAGTCAACAGCGTGTCTGCAGCAACTGACGGCAGGCAGCAAGGCTCACTCGAGCCCGGAGTGACTGGGTCATCAGAGCCAGCCGACAACAGACTGTTCTCCTCGCTTGCGCACGTGTAGCTGCTCAAACCTCCCAGGATTAGAGACAACGCCTGTTTAGTTACTTCGCTATTGTAGATCTCTGAGGCTTTATCTGCATCGCCTTCATCAAAGCCATCGTCACTGGTACTGTCACTGCCGCTGCTGCCGCGAGTAACCAGTTGCCCATTGTTTGTTGTTGTTTGGAGCTTGTTCTCAGTGCTTCTGTCAGCGCTTCTTTCATGTCTCATCAGATCTTGAATAATGCCATCAAGCTGATCACCGCCAGCTTCGTTATCATCGATTTCTCCAACACTGTCACTGTCACTCCCCTCGCTAGTACTGTCCAAGTAGCCACTGATGTTTCTTGAGGGGGAGGGGGAGGGGAGAGGAGAGTCCATAACTTCAGCGCCATAGAAAATGTAACGACTTGGAGGCATGAAGAGGAATCGAGGAAAATCTGCAAAAGATGAAAAATGAAAGTAATGGGTTTGTTGGCGTGGAACGTACCATTCTGTGGCCACAATGAGTGCAGTTAACACTTACACATATTTCTTACAGCCCAGGTCAGTTTATATTACCTTGTTCCTAACGATAACGAAAAAAAAAACTAATCAAAACAATAACCAATCAAGCGAGTTCCTCACCCCTCAGCCTATAACTCCGGAGGGGGGGGGGGTACTCCCAGAAAAATTTGTTGGGGGTGTGCGGCCCGCTTCCGAAAACCCTTACCCTATTTATGGCCAAAATCTGCGATTCTCCCTACCCTAATTATGACCAGACCAAAAATTCGATACCCTATTTATGACCATTGCGGCTGACACAGTTGCCCTAAACATAATTTTTGAAGTCCGGTTGTTTATGGTCTTATCGATAATGATGAAAAAGTTGCTTCTAAAAAACCCAATCCAAGTCTAGAGCACAAAAACCATACCTAATTTAAGAGCAAAATGGCCAAATCGATACCCTATTTATGACCAGAATGGCTGAAAAACCATAGCCTTTGGGGCCGCACATACCTATATAACCCATATAAGGGAGTACCTCCTCGGGCCTATAACAGCCTTACGCATTTAAAGACCCTGAACTATTCCCCGTGTGAAAAATTTCACAGCTATAGAATTTCTCCTGGAAACTTCTCTTTCTACTCAACACCGTTATTTGGATGTGTTCTAAATACTTGAAAGCACAGACTGATTAGTCTGCACGATCTTAATAACCTGTTCAGCTTTGTTCATTTTATCGTTGTGTAAAGCAACATGGAAACGACGCATTTAGGTGACACAAAAGCCCTATTTTCATACAGGGTCAATTGCGACAACTGCTATGAAAGTGCGACCATTTACTGTGACGCCATTTAGAGATTAACATGTTCCAGTACAGTTTGAAACAAGTAAAGCGCGAAAATAGCGAGGGTGGAGGAGAAGTGGCTAAGGGGAAGGAAATACAACAGATAAAGATTTTGTTTTCATCCACCTTCTTGGCATGGTGTGTCGTTGTTAGTAGAGTGCTCATTTTGTTGTCCAGCGGCAGAAGCTCTAGGCTGGTCTCTGCATGGCTCGTCACCAGTCTCTTCACAGCCACTGCTCTCACCTACAGTCACATGACCTTCCTTAGGGGGCGGCGGATATCCTCGACTGGCATCTTCACTTGTATTCTCTATATCGTGTAATACACTTCTTTCATCACTTTGTGCACTTCGTTGAGTCTGAAATTGAAAAGATGTTTTTAAATAATGGATCGGTTGTTAGATGTCAGAAAATGGTTTGGTGTATAGTTTCACTTTGCTCATCATTACAACTTTCAAAAGCCATATATAGTCAGATGCATCTCACCCGATCACCATCAAGAGTTCCTGATACTTTACTCTCGACGACTTCTGGACGCTCCTCTGGAGTCACGTTAACCTTGTCAGGTGATGAAAGACCTCTCTCCACATAAGGCATCTTAAAATCGTCCAACAAACTGATCCAGGACCCGCCCAGTCGCTGGCATAGCTCAGAGATGATGACATCACAGTCACCCAGTAACTCGACATCGAATGTCATGTGTCTGAGCGGCTCTCTGTTGATAAGCACCTGTGGCACCTCAGGCGGCACATGACCTGTAGTGAATGAAGCCACAGGACACTTGTACAGTCTAGCTGACGACTAAGCAGCTAACAATGCCACTACGGTAAAAACAAGCTAGGTAGCCCGAGCCCATAAAGTAAGTGGGTTGTCCAATACTGTCGAATAGATCCTATCCACAAAACAGGGACTTTGATTCCATCGATTCGTTCTATTTATCGAATGGAGAATCTGACATGTAGAGTTGTTGTCTATCTGATAATTACATGCCATTGGGGTGACTCAGAAATATTTCACGACCTTTTGGTGCCCAAATGGAAGTGTTTTAATTGAACTGATTCGACCAAAAGATTGTTACCTTGCACTATCCAACAAGAAGAAATGTCGATCCGGCAATTGCATATGCCATTAGGGGGACTTAAAAATATTTCAGGACGTCACAGGTGGAAGTACCTGATCCTTAATATTGTAAGTGAAGGTAAGGCAGGCCGCCTCCAACATGAATTGTACAGTTATGAAAACAAGTGACCATTTGCTTTAGACACTTACTTGGAATTAATGCCACTGGTCTGACTTTCAAAGAAGAACCAATAACTATAAGAAGATCAACCTGAACAAAGAAGGGTGATCAGCAAGGACTGCCTTAGAGATAGCCTGTGTACAGCCACCCCTCCCCTCAGAAAGATCGGGGAGAAAGTCTCTCTCCCCGATTTTTTTGAGGGGAGGGGGCGGCTGTACACAGGCTGACTTAGAGAGTGTCTGTACAATATTGTCACATGCACTTTTGATAGCAGATGCTAAAATAAAAAGGATAATGCAACAATTGCATACAAATTTTATCAATACAGATTGTTTATTGGTCAAAAGTCAAGTACACCTACACTCTCACATCAGGTCTATGAAAGATGTGAAGATTCTACATAATTATTAGAACTACACTGTCTAGTATCATAAGGGTATACCTTTTCAGAATCTTCATCTAGGTTGTGATAAAACTCAGATGGAAGACTCTCACCAAAGAATACAATATCTAGAACAACAGAGTCAAGGTACATGTACATAAATTAGCAATCGAAAAGGAAACAACTTGACTGGAAAGGGACTGATAATGTCCTAACCTGCGTATCTCTGTACAATTAATTTTTAGCTTGTAAATTCAATCAGGATGTATGTTGGGTACATGCTGCAGTCAATGAGCACAGCAGCACATGTACTGGAGGCAATCTAGCCAAAAAAA